CAGAGAGCCCGATGCCGGGCTGGATTCCAGGACCCTGAGACCATGACCTGAGCCGAAGGCAGAGGCTTAACCTACTGAGCCACCCAGGTGCCCCTATTGCTAACTACCTTTTAAATAAATTTTTTAAATTAAATATCTATTCTATTTACCCATTTCTTTTCTTTTTTTTTTTAAGATTTTATTTATTTATTTGTCAGAGAGAGAGCACAAGCAGGAGGGGAGCAGCAGAGGGAGAGGAGAAGCAGGCTCCCCACTGAGCAGGGATCCCTATCTCGGCCTTGATCCTAGGACCCTGGAATCCTGACTGAGCCAAAGGCAGATATTTAACAGCTGAGCCACCCAGGCACCCCTTGTTTCTTTCAAGTTCTTACTTATATTATATATATATATATATATATATATATATATATATATATATATGTATATATATATATACATATATATACATATATATACATATATATACACACACACACACATATAATGTAATATTGGCTTCAGGAGTAGAATTTAGTGATTCATCACTTACATATATAATGCCCAGTGCTCATCACAGCAGGTGCTTTTCTTAATGCCCATCATCCATCTAGCCCATCACCCACCTACCTCCCCTACAAGAACCCTCAGTTTGTTCTCTATCATCAAGAATCTCAGGGCACGGGGCACCTGGGTGGCTCAGTGGGTTAAAGCCTCTGCCTTCGGCTCTGGTCATGATCCCAGGGTCTTTGGATCAAGCCCCGCATCGGGCTCTGCTCAGCGGGGAGCCTGCTTCCCCTTCTCTCTGCCTGCCTCTCTGCCTACTTGTGATCTCTGTCAAATAAATAAATAAAATATTAAAAAAAAAAAAAAAAGAATCTCAGGGCACCTGGATGGCTCAGTCGTTAAGCATCTGCCTTTGGATCAGGTCATATTCCCCGCAGTGGGCTCCCTGCTCGGCAGGAAGCCTCCTTCTCATTCTCCCTCTATGCATGCTCTCTCAAATGAATAAATAAAACTTTTTTTAAAAAAAGTAATTTTGGGGGGCGCCTGGGTGGCTCAGTGGGTTAAAGCCTCTGCCTTCGGCTCAGGTCATGATCCCAGGGTCCTGGGATCTAGCCCCGAGTCGGGCTCTCTGCCCCGCAGGGAGCCTGCTTCCTCCCCCTCTCTCTCTGCCTGCCTCTCTGCCAACTTGTGATTTCTCTCTCTCAGTCAAATAAATAAAATCTAAAAAAAAAAAAAGTAATTTTGGTTAAAAAAAATTTTTTTTCTCTCTTCCCTTCAACCACCCCTCCCCTCTTTTCTGGGCCAATTTGATATTATCTCACAGCTCACCTTTTCTTTGTTCATCTATTTTTAGTGTTTTTCTCTTATGTTTCAAGTTTTTATAGTTTCTGCTGCTGTGTCTTCAAGAACATACAAGTATACCTATTTTTTTTCTTCTTCAGTGTGTAATCTTTTCCAGTCTTAAGTGAATTTTAAATTTCAGATATTGGGGTTTTTTTTTTGAGAGAGAGAGAACACTTGAGTTAGGGGCAAGGTGAAGGGGGGGAGAGAGGGAAAGGGAGAGAATTTTTTTTTTTTCAAGATTTTATTTATTTGATAGACAGAGGTCACAAGTAGGCAGAGAGGCAGGCAGAGAGAGGGGAAAGCAGCAGGGCTCCCTGCTGAGCAGAGTCCGATGCAGGGCTTGATCCCAGGACCCTGAGACTATGACCTGAGCTGGCGAAGGCAGAGGCTTAACTCACTGAGCGACCCAGGCGCCCCAAGGGAGAGAATTTTAAGTAGATTTGGCGCTGAGCGAGGAACCCATCTGGAGCTCAGTCTCACAACACTGAGATCATGACCTGAGGCGAAACCAAGAGTCAGACACTTAACTGACTTGAGCCACCAGGATCCCTCAAAGATTGTACTTTTAAGCTCTAAAAATTTTGACTCATTTTATGTTTTCCACTTCTCTCATTATGTTCATTTCCATTAAATCCTTGAGCATATTTGTAATAGTGCTTTCAAAGTCCTTGTCTACTATTTTATCATCTCATCATCATGTGTCTGTCTTTATTGACTATTTTCCTTATGGTCACATTTGACTCCTTTGTTTTGCATGTCAAGAGATTTTTTAATTAATGCTTGGTTTTGTGAAATTTACATTGTTGAAGGCTAGATTTTGTTGACTTCTTTTGAAACACCTTGGACTTTGTTCTGGCAGGCAGTCAGGTATTTTGTGAATCAGCTTGATCCTTTCAAGGCTCCTTTTTAAGTTGGGGTATAGCCCATCTTGAGCAGCCTCTTTCTAGGGCTAACTTTACCCCTGCTGCTGATGCGCCCTCTTCTGGAGTTCAAGTTCAATGCTCCAGGTGTTCAACAAGTTCAATAGGAATTTCCCACATTAGTTGGTCAAAACTCAAACAGCTCCCAGCCTTCTGTTAACTTTGGGAATTATTCAGTTTATAGGTACCCAATAGTTCATTAACTGGCTACTCAGAGTTTTGCCCTATTCATTTGCAGCTTAATATTTAGCAACAGAGTCAAGCATCCTCTAAGCAGAATTCTGGAGCTATTTCTCTGGGTAATTCCTCCTTTCTCTGGTAACACTGATGAACACATTACTAACCATTCACTAAAATCTGAGTAATGAGTTTAGGGATGTTCACCGTAAAATTTCAGCTTTGTCGTATGTTTGAAATTTTAATGAGATGTTTGAAATAATCAGATTATATACAACAAATACAATGCCACCATTTTATAAAGGTATTTGTGAGATTATACATCACCGTGAAATGGGTTCTAAATCAGATATGGTTGGGAAATGCTAGCCATTCCTATAGCTAGGACAACAGATTGAAAAAGCTTCTATGTTCAAGTGGCCCTTTACTGCATTTTTACAAACAAGTCCCTCAAACTGTCTCCTTAGCGGCAATGTAAGCTTTCAGTTATGCTATAGTGTGTATATTCTCCTTCTGTAATTAGTATGTATCACCTTCTTCACCTAACTTTTGATTCATTTATTAGTATGGATTCATGAATTATTATATTCAGTGAGTTTAAATCCAGACTATCATATATTTTGATGCTCACATTGTTCTAGATTTGGCTAGTGGCATTTGTGTACTTCTGATGTGCCCCCATTGTTCTTTGAGCATTTTCTTCTTTCTGCAACAAACAACAAAACGTTCCAGGTTTATCTTGTTCTTTGCCAGCCCTGGAATCATCCATTTCTCCAAGGAGCCCTGGTTCCTTTTATTAGAGAGTGAAGCCCTCTTTGTGGGCTGAGCTAGAGAAATATGTATTCCCTACATACACACTGGCCTCTATATTTACTTACATTGTAAGCTATTTAGTCTATGAATACCTCACCACTGTTGGGTTCTTTCTGGTTTTTTTCCTTTCCCCTATTTGTAACTCTGTTCTCTGCTAGCATCTATTAACTTCCAGTATATTAACTTACCAGGTGACTCCCCACCATTGTACGTATGTAACCAATCTCCCATTGTCAGCACTGCCTACCCAGGTGTCTTTTTTTTTTTAAGATTTTATTTATTTATTTGACAGACGGAGATCACAGAGAAGCAGGCATAGAGAGAGGAGGAAGCAGGCTCCCTGCTGAGCAGAGAGCCCGAAGCGGGGCTCGATCCCAGGACCCTGGGATCATGACCTGAGCTGAAGGCAGAGGCTTTAACCTACTGAGCCACCCAGGCAACCCCCCAGGTGTCTTTTTCTGACCCTTCTTGGAATCCAGTATACTACCCCTCACAAACCTATATCCTTCTCACTCCTTTTTAAAATGTGTATTTTTCAAAAGCAACCTTGAGGGGTGCCTGGGTGGCCCAGTTAGTTAAGCATCTGCCTTCAGGTCACATCATGGTCCCAGGGTCCTGGGATGGAGCCTGCTTCTCTCTCTGCCCCTCCCCCATTCATGCACACACTCTCTCTCACTCACTCTCAAATAAATAAGAATCTTTTTATAGAATTTTTTTTAAAGATTTTATTTATTTGAAAGACAGATCACAAGTAGGCAGAAAGGTAGGCAGAGAGAGAGGAAGGGAAGCAGGTTTCCTGCTGAGCAGAGAGCCTGATGCGGGGCTCAATCCCAGGACCCTGGGATCATGACCTGAGCCGAAGGCAGAGGCTTTAACCCACTGAGCCACCCAGGCGCCCCTAAAAATCTTTTTGAAGAAAAAAGCCGCGTTGGGGCACCTGGGGTGGCTCAGTTGGTTAAATGACTGCCTTCTGCTCGGGTCATGATCCGAGGGTCCCGCATCAGGCTCCCTGCTCAGTGGGGAGCCTGCTTCTCCCTCCCTCTCTGCCTGCCTGTCCTCTATCTCTGTCAAATAAATAAAATCTTAAAAAAAAAAATTTTTTTTTTAAAAGCTGCCTTGTTGGACACTGAAACTAAAAACTGTCAAAAAAGACACTTCTGGGGGCGCCTGGGTGGCTCAGTGGGTTAAAGCCTCTGCCTTCAGCTCAGGTCATGATCTCAGGGTCCTGGGATCGAGCCCCGCATCAGGCTCTCTGCTCAGCGGTGAGCCTGCTTCCTCCTCTCTCTCTCTGCCTGCCTCTCTGCATACTTGTGATCTCTGTCAAATTAAAAAAAAAAAACAAAGACACTTCTGTGGTAGGAGACTTTCATATGGACTGGGTATCCAATGAAATTAAGCCATCACTGTTCATTTTAACTGTGATAATGGCATCAAGGTAAATTTTTTCAAAGTCCTGATCATTAAGAGTTACATACTTGCAGGAGCCTAAGTGGTCAATCGGGTAAGCATCTGACTTTGGCTCAGGTCACAATCTCAGGGTCCTGGAATGGAGCCCCGCATCAGGTGCTCTGCTCAGCGGAGAATCCCCTTGTCTCTCTGCCCCCTCCCCCAGTACATTCTCTCTCAAATAAAAAAAAAAAAAAACAAAAAAAAACACACACACATGCTTGCTAGGTGATGGGTACATGGGAGCTGATTATTGTGCTACCTAGTCTTGTGTTTGAAAATTTTCAAATTAAAAAAGAAAAGAAAAAGAAGCTGCAGGTCTGCAGATCACTGGACTTTATTAAGAAGAATCACAGCTAATTACATAGAAGTTACCTGCCTAAGCCAAAATCCATGAGGTTCACATGAACATAGTTACACTTATAAGGAAGAAATGGCATGGTCAAAACCATGAAATATCCTGATGCTCAGGTGATGAAGGCTGGGGTGAAGTAAGCACATTTATTTCAAGCTGTTGAAGAGTTTGTGGGCCACCTAGATGAGGGGAAGAAAAGATGGTCATCAACTGCAGCTTTAATGTCATAGCTTACAAGGTCCTTCATGACCTTGAACACTACTGCCTCTCCTCTCTCCACAGCATTCACACACACCCATACCCCTCCTGAGGCCTAGTGACTACCTTCAGTTACCTGAATTCGATCTCCCTTCTACCCAGAACTCTCTACTTTTTAAAAAATCTTTTATGTTTCCTTTAGAACTTAGTTTACATGTCATTCTTTGTAAGCCTTCTCTAAACAAACTCCTATCCCCACATAAATCTGTCCCTCCTCATTCTTCCCCATAGGAACTTATACCTCCCATGTCACAATATTTTTTAATGTAACAAATATTTATATAACATCTACTATATGCCAGCAACTCTTCTAGGTGATGAGTGAGCTACAATGGAAACCAGGCAGTATTTCTCTTAGGAAACGTAGAGACTAATAAGAGAAATGTAACAGACACCTAAGGTAAACTTCTTTTTTTTTTTTTTTTTTTTTTTTAAGATTTTATTTATTTATTTGACAGAGAGAGATCACAAGTAGGCAGAGAGGCAGGCAGAGAGAGAGAGACAGAGGGAAGCAGGCTCCCTGCTGAGCAGAGAGCCCGATACGGGGCTCGATCCCAGGACCCTGCGATCATGACCTGAGCCGAAGGCAGCGGCTTAACCCGCTGAGCCACCCAGGCGCCCCTAAGGTAAACTTCTGACAGTGATAAAAGCTCTGAGGAAATAAAAAAGGGGTTGGGGGTGGGGGGAAGCAGCAGCTTTCAATAGAGGATTAGTGAAGGCCATCCTGAGAAGGTTATACCCAAAGAGTTAAGTATTCTACTTGTCTCCTATGCTGGTTCAACTAAATAAAGGAAGGGACTGTGCCTGTCTCATTTCTACATTTCAACCCAGTGCTAGTCTCATCAAAGTATTTGAATAACATACAATTTACCATTTTAACTAAAGTCTACGACAAAACCCCGAGATTAGGAGTCACAAATTCCACTGAATGAGCCTGCCAGGTGCCCTCATTTTAACTATTTTAAACTCTGTATTTCTGTGGCATTAAGTAACTCATACTGTCCAGCAATTATCAAGTTCCAGAATTTTTTCATCTTCCCAAACTGAAACTAAGTAATTCCCCATTTCCCCCTCCCTGAAGCCCCTGGCAACCACCATTCCACTGTCCATGAATTTGATTACTCTAGGTGCCTCATAAGTGGAATGACATATTTGTCTTTTTGTGATTGGTTTATGTAACTTAGCATGTCTTCAAGGTTCATACAGGTTGCTACACATCGTAGTTTCTTCCCTTTTTAAGGCTAAATATTTCATTATAGGTATATACCACAATGGACAGGTGGATTGCTCTACCCTTTGGCTATTATGAATGCTACTATAAACATGCATGCACAAATACCTGTTCAACTGAACAGTCTCCGTTCTTTCGGGGTATACAAGCAGAAAGGAAATTGCTGGGTCATATAGCAGAGTTTAATTTTTTGAGTAAAGTGCTTCATTTCTTTTCACTGCCAAATACTATCCCATTATATGGATATATTACATTTTATTTACTTATCAACTGATGAACATTTATGTTGTTTCCACTCTCTGGCTATTATGAATAATGCTCCTATGAATATTTGTGTACAAGCTTTTGTATAGTCATAAGTCTTCATTTCTCTTGAGTATACGTACCTAGGAGAATTACTAGATCATATGTTAACTTGATGTTTAACTTTTTTTTTTAAATGAAGGTTTATTTATTTATTTATTTATTTGACAGAGACAGACAGCAAGAGCAGGAACACAAGCATGGGGAGTGGGAGAGGGAGAGTTGGAGAAGCAGGCTTCCCGCTGAGCGGGGAGCCCGATGCAGGGCTCAATCCCAGGACCTTGGGATCATGACCTGAGCCGAAGGCAGACGCTTAACAACTGAGCCACCCAGGTGCCCCTATGTTTAACTTTTTGAAGACCTGCCAGACTGTTTTCTATAGGGCTATTCCAATCTACATCCCCAACAGCAATTTCTCCATATTGACAACACCGATCGATTTTTTAAGGATATGGAGAATTACAGATGCATGTTTTGTTTATAAATTTTCCTTCTTTCCACTAAAATTATGTTGAAAAAGGAATATAATGCCTTTATTCATATTTTATATTAAATGTATTTGGATTCCATTTTTGTTTAAAAATCTGATAGTATATATGAGAAAACATGGTTATCTCTAGGCAGTATGATTTCAGTTAGATTTTTCTATCTTTATAAAATATCCTCCTTGTCACAACGTGTTTAATGGGGCAGGGGTATATGTACATTTGTGTATTTCCACTCTATATCATAGAATTAAAACACCTATACTGGAAGTTGGTTTGTTTTTTTTTTTGTTTTTTTTTAAAGAAAGCTCTACACCCAATTCAGGGGCTTGAACTTAAGACCCTGAGATCAAGAGCTGTGTGCTCTACCAACTGAGTCAGCCAGCATCCCTGGGATTGTTGAAGCATAAAGTTGGTAGGGTGGAGATCATTAACTTTTTTCAGGGGGAAAAGAGTCATTTATTTTTCCCTTTTGACCCCCTTCACCCATTTCTCCCTATCTTTTTGATTATACCCATCCTAGCAGGTATGAACTGGTATCTCATCGTGGTTTTGATCTGTATTTCCCTGAGAGCTAATGGTGTTAAGCACCTTTCATATGCTTATTAAGCACCCAATTGTTTTAATTAACATATATTATTTGTCCCAGGGGTACAGGTCTGTGAATCATCAGGATTACACATTTCTTCACAGAATTCACCACAGCACATCCCCTCCCCAATGTCCATAACCCAGCCGCCCTATCCCTACCAATTGGTTTTAATATAAGCAATCATCAAACTTTTGCCTGCTCTGCAATTTATTTAAAATATCTGTCATATGTGGGGCACCTGGGTGGCTCAGTGGGTTAAAGCCTCTGCCTTCGGCTCAGGCCATGATCTCAGGGTTCTGGGATCGAGTCCCACACCGGGCTCTCTGCTCAGCAGAGAGCCTGCTTCCCCCCCTCTCTCTGCTTGCCTCTCTGCCTACTTGTGATCTGTCAATTAAATAAAAAAAAAAAAATCTGTCATATGTAAGAGAGTCAAATTTACTTTAATAATAATAATAATAATAATAATAATAAGGGGGCACCTGGGTGGCTCGGTCCATGGTCCTGGGGTTGAGCCCTGTCAGGGGTCGGGCTCCCTGCTCAGCAGGGAGTCAGCTTCTCCCCTATCCTCTGCCCCTTCCCCTGCTCTCTCTCAAATAAATAAAATCTTAATAAAAAAAAAAAAAGAAAGAAAGAAAAAGAAAAGAAAAGAAAACTTTTTGGACCAACTAGCACATATAAGACATACTGGAGTATATAAATGATTTTAAAGAATAGCCTGTTGCTTAAAGGTACAAAATCCAGCTTCCCCAATGTTTTGCAGTCCAAGTTGGGACATTATTTCTCTTCTTTAAGCCTCAGTTTCTTATCTGTAAAATGGGGCTAATGAGACCTATCTCCAGGAAAGTAGCAGAATTAGGTGGATTATTTATGTAAAGTGCTCGGCACCGTACCTAACATATATGGGCCAGTAAGTAAATGCTTATTGCTGGATCTGCCCCTAGTATGGACAAACTGTCAGCACCAAGTCTGCCTGGCCACTAAGCTTTCCCCTCCCTGATTAGGCTGACTTACGCAGTGGTCCCTTGCATGCAGGAAGTCAAAGAGCTCCTCTGTGCAATCCTCCTCTGTCTGTGACCTGGAGGATACACGCTGGTCACACATCTCTAGCCGCTCCCGAGCCTTTACACATTTCTCCAGCTGCTCGCATTGCTCTCTCACTGTTGTTAGGGGATCCTGAAGAAGAAACACAGAAAAGAACGGAAATGGGGGTTTTAGGAGGAGACCCACAAACCATCTGCTTTGATTAACACAACCACCAAACCAAGGTGCTGCCTCTGAATTACCGTGCAGAAGGCCAGCTGGCAGAGCCACACTGCCGCCAGAAATGGGAGAATGGGGTCTCCCATTCAATTCTGATGCTAAGTAGTAGGGGAAAGTTTCACATTCCTGCCTTCCAAGGTTGCCAGTATGCACTGAAAGCCTCAGTCCTATCTGAAAAACAAGGTGGTAAAGGAAACCTAGCCAAACTTGAAGTATATCTATAGGAGGCCTTAAATGTTAACACAGCATTTGGGGATATGTGATGTCTGCGAATCTGAATTCCCCTCATATGACAGCCAGGCCTATGTACCCCAGCTGCCCAGCTAGAAAGGCAATGTTAACAGGGAGAAGGACTGTATAAAAGTTCCTTCCTGAGTCCTTTATTAAACCGCAAAGAGCAGACAGATAATTGAATACCAGGCCTTCAAGATGCTGCTCTGCTCCCTGACACCATGACTGAAGAAGCTCCAAACCCAGAAAATAGACTCAGCTTCCCAGGCCCACACCCACCAAACACTCCACAGCACAAGAAGTAGTATTAAAGGCTTTTTCCATTTCCATTCTCTTCAAGGTGTCAAATAAAGACTCCTTAAAATGCCCTTAGAGTTTCATTAAGTTCAAACTTCCTTTTACTGAGATGGTTCCAAACCTTAGACGGCTCTTACCACTAATTCCTCCTCCTCCTCTTCCTCCTACAAAAGGAAAACAAGATTAATGTCAGCAGCAACTTGGGACACATATTACTAATCATACTGATGTAATTACTGAGGATAAACACTGTATTAGTTGTTTTAAATTTTTCTGTTATTTTATGATGCTTTCGCATTTTAGGGGCTTTGCTAATCTGGGAGAAAGCCCCTGCCAGGGGACACACCCTTCATATGTGAACCAATCAATCCAAACCCCTATCACCAATCACTTCCTTTATCTCCTAAACTAAACCAATTATTGCTCCTGCCCTAAATACCCTATGGGCCAAGTACCAAACAGCTAGAGACCACACCTATATCCCAGAACCCACAGAAATTACCCAAATAATCCAATCCTAAACTTGCCAGAGCTTGCCTATCCTGACTCACCCACTCTTTCCCTCAGAAACCAAGAGTCTGGTTTCCGTTGCTCTTTCTGTGGGGGGGGGGGGGGGGGGTGGTCCAGGCCCTTCTCCAGGTGGCTCTGATTGGTGTGGCCCTCCCCGCCTTCTCTTGGGACTCATAATAAACTCTTCTTTCAAAAACAGTTGTCTCCAAACCAAACCAAACCAAAAAGCAGTTGTCTCCATGCCTGTAAACTTACCATACCTAATTAATACAAACCCTGAGTACAAGGACACACTCCCTGACTTTCATTAACAACAACCTAGTGTGTAGGACACTGAAGTTTATAAAGTAGGGCACGTGGGTGGCTCAGCTGGTTAAGCCTCCACCTTCTGCTCAGGTGGTGGTCCCACCGTCCTGCGATCCAGCTGCATGTCCAGCCCCACATCAGGTTCCCTGCTCAGGGGGAGTATGCTGCGCCCTCTCCTCCTGCTCCTCCCCCCTGCTTAGTTCCCTCTTGGTTTCTCTCTCAAATAAATAAAATCTTTAAAATAAAGTTTATAGGGGCGCCTGGGTGGCTCAGTGGGTTAAGCCTCTGCCTTCGGCTCAGGTCATGATCCCAGGGTCCTGGGATCGAGCCCCGCATCGGGCTCTCTGCTCAGCAGCGAGCCTGCTTCCCTTCCTCTCTCTCTCTCTGCCTGCCTCTCTGCCTACTTCTGATCTCTGTCTATCAAATAAATAAATAAAATCTTTAAAAAAAAATAAAATAAAATAAAATAAAATAAAGTTTATAAAGTACTTTCATATCTGTAATTTGATTAATCACAACAGCTCCTTAAGGGCTCCCAGTTTAGAGTTAACAACATTAATTAGATATTTTCTTTCTTTGTTTTTAAAGCTCTACGATGATGAACGTGGAGCTTGAACCCACAACCCCAAGATCAAGAGTCACATGCTCTATCGACTGAACCAGCTGGTGCCCCATTGAGAAATATTCTGATACAGATTCAAGCTGATGTTCACATGGAACCTATATAACTTACTTTGTTTGAAATTCTGGTAGGCACTAGTATTATGAGAAACAGCTCAATTTAGTACTTACAAAGTACTAAACAAAGTTAAGAGGAAAACTAACATTTTTTCTAGACTCTGAACTTGAACTGGGAATACAAAAATGGCCAAACCTAAACTTTTCTTTAGCCAGAGCTTAACTAGAAACGGTTAGTTTTTAGATTAGTTTACAGTCACTGCTTTTTGACTTGCTGAACTCCCAGGACTCCTAAGTAGACTATCAGCATTAAGTCAATCAAAGGTCTAGAGTACCACTCCATTCCCAAGTTTTCAAACACCAATTCCCACCTATCTACTTCTGATTCAAGCATACAACCTCAAATTTAGTTTCCTTTCTTCCAAGGAGGGCAGTGTAAAAAAGTCCCTGTGGGAGCATCATTATAGGCCAAAATCTGGGGCACAGGAGAATCTGATCAATATTTTAACCTGTCAAGAGTAAGCTGTTTGCCTGCCTGCACGTGCACATACCCACATCTGGGGGAAGAGAAGGAAAAAGTATATAGGAAAATAAAAAGAACTCAACAATCCCTCATGTTTTCAAAATTCCAACAACACAATCTGCTTCATTCTCTACCATGCCCTTTGCGGAAGAGACCAAACCTCATGAAAGCTGGGAGGGCTAAGGCAAGTTCAACTATAATTCACGCTATTTATTCTTGCAATTAGCAAAGATCTCTTCTAAACATGAAGATTTGGGGAATGTCAAACTCTAGTTTTTCATTAGTTTCTTAACCTTGCTCTTTAAAAAAACTCATACTGAAAAAGTTTTTCCAAAAAATTGAAATCATTTATTTTGCCTCAGAAACCGGAAATTAGAATCCTAGAAGCAAGACCTTTGTATCATTTCCCTATTAGCAATGCTACTACATTGATCATTTTGATAATTCTGTGTCAAAAGTATCATGGCATGTTTTGGAAAAACAACTCCAAATACTAAGTCTGAATATGGACTTCATGTAAAATTTCCAGTCAATGGCATAAACCAAGGTCACACTAAATAAAAAGAATGCCCCAAAAGTATACGTTCTTCATAAAAGATCTCAGTTTTCTTTTTTTTTTAAGATTTTATTTATTTGTTTGATATAGAGAGGACAAGCGGGGGGAGCAGCAGAGGGAGAGGGAGAAGCAGACTCCCCACTCAGCAGAGAGCCAGATGCAGGGCTAGATCCCAGGACTCCAGGATCATGACCTGAGCCAAAGGCAGATGCTTGACTTAGCCACCCAGGCGCCCCAAAGACCTCAGCTTTCTTAATTTTAAAACTGACTACCTTCTTTTTTTCATCTGCTGTGGTGAGCACTACTAAACTTTCTGGTATACTTCCTGCTGAACTTCCTGAGGCTGGCTCCATTTTGTTCTGGTCCCCTTTCTGAAAATAGTAAGACTAGGGAAAAATCATGGGATAAACTAGTTTCCAACTATTCGGAACCCATAAACCCGGAACAGCTGCCCCGAAGTGACTAGAGAACAAAGGATAGGAAATGTGATTGAAAACCAAAAGCTAGATGACCTCTACAAAGCTGGGTAGCACCGTGGCTAAGTCTTGGCTCTGAAACCATGCTGCTTGGGTTCAACTCCCCGATCCATGATTAAAAGTGTGGTCCTTAGAGAAGATATTTAGCCTTTCTATACTAGTCTTTCATCTGTAAAAAGACCATAATAGTACCCAATACTTACCTCGTAGGACTATCGTGTGGCTTAAATGAATTAGTCATAAAAAGACTTGAAATAGTAAGCAGTCAATAATTATCATACCGGTATTCTTATTCCGGGATAGAGCTCCCTCTTCCATCATCGCAGTTACACTGGCATATTCCCCAAATATACCTCCCACCCCAACTCCTACCAAAAAAAAGGAACCACTTCTTCACAGAAACTAGCGTTAAGGCCAGATCTCCGCAGCCTCCATCTAAGATGTGGCAGGATTCCTGACCTGAGAGGAGAGAAGCACTATGACCGGTCGACTTGACCCCTACACCTGTCAAACCAGGGTCTCAGGTCGTCTGGTTGGCTAAAAATATACTGTTTTTACAAAAGTTTAGGCGACCCAGCATTTTCGCTGTTACACCTTCACCTCATTCACAGAATGGGGAAACCAAGCCCAAAAAAGGGGTGGTCATCTACTTGTTCAAGATGAGTAGACAAATTCTGGGGAAGGGTCGAGGGAACTAGCAATCGTGACTGTGAAAACTCTAGAGGCGAATCCAGGGCCAACAGGGGCCCGGGTGTGTTTTGGCGGGGTAGGTCTTGAGCCTCAGGGCAGTGAAGAGAGTCGAGTCGGTCGCCTTTCCTTACCTCCTTGGGATCTCCGGACCCGGTCAGCATCTTTCGCTCGTCCTCCAGCCCCATGACCCGCTACGGTTCTGAACTCAACACCAGCAGCAACAGCGGCACCTATTCCACTTCAGGATCAAGAAGGACTTGTAAGGGTCACTCAGCGGATATCCGGCGATCTGGCCGGAAGTGCGGCAGACTCGTCGTAGTCGCGAACACACGCTCGGATTGGCATATACTACCGTCCAAACGCAAGGGATAGGGGGAGCTGGTATTTGCACCTGAGGAGGAGTTGCTAAGTAATGTCCTCTTAATCGCGCCAGTGTCAACTACATCGATCTGCACATTTATTTTAAATATTGGATTCTAGGAGACTTGGAAAGAATGCGGATTTATTCGATGTTCCTTTAGCGCAGTTCCCGGTCTTACCCACATCGCTGATGAAACCGTCCTAACTGCTGACCTTTTCAAGATGGCGGTCCGCGGGTGCCACTCTCGGGCTCGCGCACCTCCCCAAGATGGCGGCGCCCGAGGCCTGGCGCGCCCGGAGTTGCTGGTTCTGTGAGGTAGCGGCGGCAACGACCATGGAGGCCACGTCCCGGGAGGCGGCGCCAGCGAAGAGCTCGGCCTCGGGCCCCAGCGCTCCCCCCGCCCTGTTCGAGCTGTGCGGGCGGGCGGTGAGCGCCCATATGGGGGTTCTGGAGAGCGGGGTGTGGGGTAAGTCGCGGGGTGAGGGGCTACCTCTGGCAACGAGCGGAGGCGGCCCAGCGGCCGGGGGGCGCGGGGGGCGAGGCCGGGAGGCCTGGGGCAAGGCCCAGCCCGGGGCGCTGGAAGCCACACCGTCGGGTCGGAACATGAATTCCGTGCCTGACCGGGCTAGACAGAGTAAAGGCGGGGACCAAATCGGCAGGTGGACGCGCACTGCGGCCTGGCTGGGGGGCGCGGGGGGCGAGGCCAGGAGGCCCGGTCTGGGGCCAGACTGGCAGGGCCCGGGAGACAAGCTGGAATGACGGGCCGGCCGCGGGCACCGAACTGACGCTCGGGTCGGGCCGGGCTGCGGAGTCTCGGATGTCGAAGCGACGGGCAAGGATGGCCCTGCTGCTTGGGGGCGGGGGCCGAGCTTGGGAGTCCCGGCCTAAGGCAAGGAGTCCAGGCCCGGGGCCACCTAGCCTGACTGACGCGCGGGGCCTCCCGTGTCTGCTTGACAGACCGCGGGTACCGAGACTCCGGAGACTAGGCTGATGGGCGAAAGCAGCCCAGTGGATTGGAGAGCGAGGGGCTGGGGGAGAGGCCGAAGGGCTTGGGGCGCCGAGGCCTGTCGGGAGACCCAGGGTTGAAGGGAGCGCACTGACGACCGGGGCCTCGGGTGCCAATTTGCTGGAGCGCTGGACTGACGGGCAGGGCAGGGAGCGCCGGAGGCCACTCGGATTGGCCTGAGCGGAGGAAGGGCCCGGAGCGGGTGAAGAAGGGAGGCTGGAGCGGGTCAGCAACCGAGGGAGGCTCGAATGACCGACGGGCGGGAAGGGCCAGGGAGGCCCCAGGCGGAGCGACGGCCCGGGGATCCCGAATGGGAGGGGGCGCGTCGCCGCTAGGAGGCCTCGGGCTGAGTGCGAGCGAAAGGAGGCCCCGGGCCTGAAAGCTGCCGGGGACCGACGGCCCGGCTCGGGCTCAGCGCGCCCAGGCCGAGCGGCAAAGGCGGGCCGCGCCGCCGGGCCGAGGGGCCGGGGAGGACAAGCTGAAGAGGCCGGCCGGTGGGCCTGGGATTAGGTCGCGCCGGCGCGGGCAGGGTCGCGCCGGAGAGGAAGCCCGCAGTGGTGGGCACGCGGAGGCCCGGCTTTGGGGTGGGCGCCGCTGGACCCAGATCGGCAGCTGATGAGAACAACTCGGGTCGGCCTTGTGAACACTGATGGGGAGCGTGAAAGAGAGGAGAGTGAAGGCTCTGGGGGATAGGCCTGCCTGCATAGGGGATGAGGGAGGCCTTGGGCCTGACAGACTGGTGGTGTGAGGGGGTGGGGTCCAGAGGCCAGGGCTGAAGTTGAGTGAGGAGATCCAGGCCGGGCCTAGGGCCCAGGGAAGCGGGAGGGAGTGGCAGGAGAGAAGGCCTCAGGCCTTGAGGGGGTGAAGGGGTGGGGTTCTGGAGAAGGCCTCCGGAGTGGTGGTAGTGCCTTTGCCAGGAGGGAAGCCCCGGTAAGGTCAGGAGAGAGGGGCTTGAGGTCCTGGGATTGGGGATTTGGGGGGGTTGCACTCTGAGGAGGTGGTTGTGAAGAAAAGGCCCTCAAGTTTGGGGGGAGGGGGTTGGGCATCCAGGAATAAGCCCCAAGGCTGTGGAGACTGGTTAAAGAAGGCCCAGAGATGTGAGAAGGCCCTTGGTGAGGTGGGGGTGGGGCACTAATCCTGAAGAGGCCCAAGTGTCTTCCTGCAGTGGGGAACACTGTTAGAAGTCCTCAAGCTGGTAGGGGGAGGGGATTGTGGAGGCCCTGTGCCCACAGCTGAAAGGAGAAGGGTCAGGCTGACCCATGGGAAAAAGGAGTAGTCTCAGTGGAACTGGGCAGGGAGCTCAAAAAAGACCTCAGAAAAATGTGGAAGAAGGCAGAGAAGATTGGCTGTATCAGCCTGGAGCTTCTAGGATGCTAAACTTGGCTAGGAGGGAAGAGGACTGGGAGTGAAGGCCCGGAGTTGGGAAGAGGAAGCATTAAAGGTGTAGGCTGAAAAGAAGAAAGGAAGAGCCTGGCTTAAGAAGAATGGAGAAATGAAGAGAGGAGGTTGTGGATCATAGGGGATGAGACTCCCCAGTGGCTGTGAGAGGGGATAGCTAAACAGAGAAGATTGGAGGGACAGAGGAGAAAGAGCTCCTATGGGCCTAGCCTAGGTAAACAGTCACAGAGAAAAAGCTGAATCAAGTTAGGCCTCTTAGGAGAGCCAAGTAGGAGGCCTGCTAAGAAGTGCTGTTTTGGAGGAAGGTCTCAATGTGGGCTAACAGCCAAGAAAGGCTTCCTGGAGGCGGTGGACTAGGGTTGCTTTGTGTAGGGAAAGAGAAGGGTAAAATGAGTAGAGGGAGCAGGAAAGGAGAATACAATGAGGAAACAAGTAGAATAGGTATGTTATACCTTGAATGCCAGGATATGGAGCTTGGACTTTATCCTGAATTTAATAGGGGCCTACATTAATGTAATAGTTTAGGGAATTAATATTTTCATTCAGCAGGTACATTGAGTACTATGCACAAAGAATTATATCAGACTCTTGGACATCAAGATTTAATTATTCTACAAGTAAAGATAAAGGGAGATCCTAGAATAGAAGTTTTTGAAAGATTTTCATTAGATATAGTATACTCTAAGATCTAAGACTTGTTCTTGGAAGGACAGAGAGGCTATTGACAGATAAGAATAATAATAGACAACATTTAATGAGCTTCTTATGGCCAGGCAGTTCTTAAAAAGATTAAAAGCATGATTTTCTTTAATTTTTAAATGATTTTCTTTAATTTTGATAACAATATTGTGAGGTAGTTATTACTACCTCCATTTTAAAATTGAGGAAATGGAGTCTTAAAGATGTGAATTTGCCCAAGTATTCATAATTAATAGAATCAGAATTTCACCCAGTTTTGTCCAATTCTAGAGACTGAACCATTTAGCCACAATATTGTAAAGCTTCTCAACCTAGACATCAGCAAGAAAAGTTTTGTTTTTATGATATGTTCAATTTAGAGTTAGGGCCTAATTATTTCTGTTGTTCATAGGAAAGTACTAGTTCAGGATATTGCAGGGGCCCAAAGAATGGGAGTCACCAGCCTGGAAGAGTGGGAAGGGAATTCAGGAAAGGCTTAATAAAGGGCACATGCTACTTGAAAGATGAGTAGGTGATATGCTGAAAATGGCAAGGACATTCTTGGTAGGGAGCAGCTCAAAAAAGGCACAGAGGTAGAAAGCAGTGTAACATGTTAGGTAAATGAGAAAAGTAGTTTAGTATGGCTCAACTAGAGGAGGCAAAGCAGGGAACTGGAGAAGTTTGTAGGGGCCAGATTATGATGGACGTCTTTAGGACACATATCCAGTAGGACCTTTTAAATGCAGTAAAATGATTAAATGGTTCATTATGCTAGGCAGAAGTGAACTGACCAGCTCCTAAATGAGCATATCAGCTTGCTTTTTTGTCTCACCCTTGAAGATGTGAATGCCCTTGAAATTCCAGCTGCCACCGAAGTGGCTGAAGATAAGTAGACTAGAGTTTGAGTTAGACTTAGGTTAGCTTCTGTAGGTTCCATTTGCCAAATGAGAAGTCAGCCCTTCTGTTTTCCTTTCCATTAAGATAAATAATGCTTGGAACTCTGGGAGAAAAAAGTAAATTTTGTGTTTTGGTTTTTGTAGCCCTCCCAGGCCCAATACTTCAGAGCATCTTACCTCTGCTCAATATATATTACTTGGAGAGGATTGAGGAAACTGCCCTCAAGAAAGGTAAGTGTCTTTCTCACTCTTTCTCAGTGATTGTAAGCAAGGCACCATGATGTCTTCAGGTAAATATGACACCTGATACCCACATAGAACTTCAAGCTTTTCAAAAAGTACCCTCATACCTACTTTCTTACATGATTCCTCAGAGTGTCCAGTGAAACACAAAGCAAGTAATGATCCCAGTTATACTAATAAAAGTGAAACCACAGGCACACCACAATTAATAGCTAACCCAGACTAAAGCCCAGATCTTCTGATTCTTCGTTTTTCTGTTTTACCATGCTGTCTTCCAAACCTCTCATTGGACAGATCTGTTAACAGCTATCATTTATCTAACTAACCCTGATGTGACAAGTGTTGTCCTGTGCACTTTACCTGGAGAAACTCATTTAATCTTTTCAACAACTCTATGAAATAGCTATTATTATCTACATTTTGCAGATAAGGAAACTGAGGTACAAAAAAATTAAGTAAACTTGCCCAGGGTCACAGAGCTAGAGTGTGGTTTGCTGATACTTAAACCCAGGCTGTCTTTAGAGCCAGCACTCTTTACTAGTCTGCTCTATTGCTCCTGTGAACCCAGAGAACGACAACATTAAAGGCTGATATGCTTCACTCATGGTGGCCCAAGAGCAGCCAAGTAAATGTGATATTTCTCCCCACAGGCCTCTCCACTCAGGCCATCTGGCGCCGACTATGGGATGAGCTGATGAAGACAAGGCCTTCCAGTTTGGAAGTAAGTTAAGGCACCAGGTAGAACTCTGGCCTGACTTTGCACAGTGGAAGCAGGAATAGCTTACAAACACAGACTGGGTACTGGTAGACTGCAGGGACAGGGATGGAGTGAATTTGGGAGGAGATGGCCTGTCACAAGGTCTTTCCATTTGGCATTTGTCACTGACTTGATTGCTCACCATGTTTGCAGGTAACACAAAACAGGGAAAGGTAGTGATCACAATGGATGGCAGAACCCAGATTCATAGATGTCTGGACAGGGCTTGAGCAGTGGTCAAACCTGACAAACGAAATTTAACAGAATAAACCAATTTTTCACTTAAGTCTAAAAAATTCCAGTTGTATGACCTCAGGGTAGGAGGTGGAGGGGTCTGGCTTAGCAACAACTTGTATGAAAAAGATTAAGGGGGTTTAGTCAACAATGTGCTAAAGCTACTGATATAATGACTCTACTCTGAGCTATGTGAATCAATGTAACTATAATATAAGCTGAAGGACAAGGGAGATGATAGGCCTGCGTGGCTCTGCAGTGTTCAGGCTATCCTGGAATATGGAGAAAGAAGTCAAGGCCACATCACATGAGTCACATTTGGAAGACTGGAGATGTTGTTCCTGAAAAAGAAGAGCTGGGAACATGAACTATTGGAATATTTGAATGATTCTCACATAAAAGAGGGATTAATAGACTTGTTCTGATAGAAGCTAAAGAAGAATAAATTTCTGCTAAACTGAATGTAGAATTTTTAAGCTCTGAGCTTATTGGTGATGAAACAAGCTAATGCAAGAAGTAACCTTCCCATCTCTAAGTGTTCAAATAGAGTCTAGATAACTACCTGACACAAGGGTATTGTAGAAGAAAATCAGCATTTTAAGAGAGGTTGGACAAGATGACTTTAGGATTCCTTTTAACCCTGAGATTCTGTTATTCTTTGGTTCAGATATAACTTGCTCTTATTTAAGCAGAATTTCTTCTGCTGTTCCATAACTAGGGTACAGCTCAGATTGAGTTCAATAAACATTTACTAAACTTCCCACATACCAGGTCTTACGTTAGGTATTGGAAGCACAGACACAGTCCCAATCTCTCACGTTTAGCGGGGAAGCCTGCAAACAAATACATCGTGCATGGTGGGGAAAGTGGTGTGACAGTAGCAAGGAGGTTGAGGTAGAAGGGAGCATGACAGTCTTTCCTGGGAAGTAGTATTTGAACTGGGCTTTAAATGGTGGATGAGGCCAAATGATAAAAAGACAAGTTATTATCAGGAGATTTAATTTCTGGGGATGCACTGGATTCAGTAAAATTCAGCTCCATATCCTTCAGCTTTCCACTTCCAGATCTGGACACAACTCCTGAAGTTCAGTAGGATAATCCTAAGGCTCAAGAAAGTCCTCAGGCACTATGTACAGGAATTAGGCCTTATGAGGAAGAAAAGTGAATGCAAGATTAGAAAACACTAACAGTTTCCTGAAACTTAAAGGTGTAGGAGATTCACTTCGAATCCCAACCATCCCAAGCAGTATGGTTGACTAGCAGATGATGGAGATCGGAACATCATCTTAGAGTAAGCTTTTTTCCTCCAATATTATCTCAGGCTTCCTGGTAGTTTGTTATCTTTTCTTGTCTCAGAGCATTTCAGAATGCTTGGGAAGCCCCAGGCTTGGTAACCTAACAGTCCCCTAGACAGAGGTCATTCCAAAGGATGCCTTCTTCTTTTTTACATGACAGTAACCTTAACTTCATAATTCAGAAACACTTATTGAGTGCCTGCTCAATTCCAGGCACTGTGCTAGGTTCTAGGGATACAGTGGTGAACAAGATAGAGATAGCCCTGATTGCTTATAAAGAAATAGAATTTCAGGGACGCCTGGTGGCTCAGTTGGTTGGGCAGCTGCCTTCAGCTCAGGTCATGATCCCAATGTCCTGGGGTCATGTCCCACATCGGGCTCCTTGCTTGGCGGGGAGCCTGCTTCTCCCTCTGCCTCTGCCTGCCACTCTGTCTGCCTGTGCTCGCTTTCGCTTCTCTCTCTCTCTCTGACAAATAAATAAAAGAAATAGAATTTCAAACAGTGTAGTACTACTGTATGTGTATTAAGAGATCTGTAGAATAAAATAGATATTCTTGAGACAAAGCAATGGGGAAATGAAGGCTTATTCAATAAAGGATGCTCTGGTTATTGGTTAACTATTTGGAAAAAAAAAGAGCCTCATTTTACAATATACTCAAATAATTTCTATATGGATTAAAGATTAAATTGTAAAAAGTAAAAGCACAGAAAAACTAAAAAAAGAATAAAGGTGATTGGTTATTTAAACTCAAGTTGGAGAGTGTTAATTATTAAATGGATAGAATCAAAAAAGCAAGCATGGACATATTTGGCCATATAAAATGCCAACACAATTTAAAAGGCACATAAACTAAGAAAGAATGTTTGCAACAATATTTGTAAAACAAGAGGATAGAGGGAATAAGAAAAACTATCCTAGTAGAATAAGATTGGGACAAGTCACAAAATATACAAAAATCTTCAATAAAATATATTCAATCTCAATAGTAAAAAAAATGGGAAAGTATATAACTCTTAAATAAGTATATATATTATATACTTATCATATAAAAATAAGTATATATAAAATAAATATATATTTATATATAATATATATTATTTGGCTAGAAATTCTATTTCCTAGAATTTATAGTATATAAAAATTGAAATACTCATGAAGACTTATTTCAGGATGTTCATTACAGCAACTTAATATCAAAAAGCTAGCAACAGTTTATTCGGTGTGCAGGAATTACTGATTATAGTACATTCCTATTTTTAAAATATTAATAAAGTCATATTCTGCAAACATCTAAATACATGGTGGTAAAAATGTGATGACATGGTGGCATAATGTTTTAAAAGCCCAGCATTTGAAAACTATTCAGAATTGTCTCACTGTTAGAGAAACAATTATCTGTAGCTATTCACGTTTACATATACACTGGAAAGAATGGGTTTACAGATTTTATCTCCACAAACAATGTTTCTGTTATCAGAAAAATAGTGGACAATAGTTTATGAACATTTGCTGCTCTGTTTAGTACAAGAAAATGTTTAGCCTTCCCTAGTTTGTATATCTACTTCCTCCCCAACTAGTCCCTGAGCCACCAGGCTGTGGATGGGCCAAGAACTGTGTTGGTAGGCAAATGTCATTTCACCTCTTTGGTGGTGCCTCATTTCTCCTACTCTTGCCCAAAAGAATATGTTGAAATCACTTTGCATTCCCTGAGCAATAGTGTACAAGTTCACAAAATAAGTGCCTTGAACTATTAGGTATTTTTCAGCTTTGAAATTTAGCAGAGATTCTTCTAAGGGGTGGTGATGGAATAAAATGCAGTGAACTACTGTCAGCTCATAATTGAGATAGTTGTAACTAACTTTACTCATTTAATCCTTACAACTCTGATGTAGGTAGGTTACTTTCTGACTTTACAGATGAGAAACTGAGGCAGAAAGAGGTAAAGTGGCTTGTCTGAGGTTATAGTTAGTGAATAGCAGACCCAGGATTCAAGTTGAGGCAATGTGGCTGTGGAGCTTATGCTCCTAATCACTATGTCATGCTGTTCTCCCTGCAATTGTCACCTGTCTGGGGTGTTCCAGTTTCAAATATTCTCTTCCACTGTCTTCATCAACCAATAAGATGTATGGGAAAAAAAAAAAACAAAAAAAAAACACTAAGTTACCTAAACTACATATTCCATATGCTATATGGTCAGAAATAGCCAGTGTCCTGGTTCATATCTTTGTCCATATTTTAGGCCTAGAATGTCTCACTTGTGAAGTTAAAGCTTTGCTAGATTACCTGCAGGTGTTTTCCAAGGCTGTGAGCGTGGGCCAGCGAATGTGTAGGAAAGTGTTAGAGGTAGGATTCAGGAATACCCTCTCTGCTTCCACTCGAGGCTGAATGGAGATTTTGTTGCCAGGTATTTTTTCCTGGTCCCCCAGCGCCCCCAAACTGTTGCTGGTGAGAGACGTCCTTCCCTCATTTTGCTACCATGCAGTTAGTTCAAACATGAAGTCATTCCTAATTATTACCACAGCAGGCAGGGTTATGGGGAATAGCCAGGGCAAAGGGAATGCCACTTTTGCTGAGAACTACAGGGGTCCAACTCCTACCAGGAACCTCTGATATAAATTAAGGGTCCCTCTGGTATGAGGGAATGCATAGAGGTAGGATAAGTACCAAAGAGAAGCATCCCTTAGTTTTGGGGAACCTCAGGCCCCCACTATCTTTTGCTTCCGGCTGAAAAAGCACCCTGCTTAACAGGCTCTGCCTCCATCAAGTCCATTTCACATTGCCCATCTGGACTAATTATTACCATTAGCAGTAACAGAAATAACATTTTGTATTTTACAGTTTATGAAGTACCTTCACTTGCACTGTCTCATTTGATCTTCACAACAAACCTGTGAAGCAATTGATATTATCCATGTTTTACAGATGAAGAGGTTCAAGAGGCCTGAGTATAGTGGCAGAGATGACACCTGTGTCAGTCAGCAGACTTTGTTGTGCCTGAGAGAATGGGGACTTAAAAGTCTGTGTGTCCTCTGGTGGTGGGGGGGGGGGGTAAGCAGTAATTGCAAACCTCCTACATACATCAGAATCATCTGAGGGAGGTTTAAAAACACAGACGCATGGGCCTTACTGCAGATGCAACATAAGAGAATTCCCAGATACCTGGCATATGAATTTTCAAAAAAGAAAAGCTCCACAGTCAATTCTGATGTGCACTAAAGGTTAAGAAATACTTGGATTCAGAGTTTTTCTTAAGTGTTCTGGAGTACTCTGATAAAGTCTTATATGCATCAAAGCCAATAACTACTGCCTTGGAGAAAACCAACCTAAGATTTGGACCCTGATCTCCAGGAATTTCTAATCTGGTTGGGATAAAACATGTACACCATGACACAGGCCTACCAACAATTAAGACCTGAATAATCGGAGTAGCAGAGGAGTCCCACAGGAGACAGGGAGCGGAGTAGAAGGGGGCATACAAAGAGACACTGAGATGAACAACCTCAACAAGAGTAATATGTTAGGGGGCGCCTGGGTGGCTCAGTGGGTTAAGGCCTCTGCCTTCGGCTCAGGTCATGATCCCGGGGTCCTGGGATCGAGCCCCACATCAGGATCTCTGCTCAGTGGGGAGCCTGCTTCCTCCTCTCTCTCTCTCTCTGCCTGCCTCTCTGCCTACTTGTGATCTCTGTCAAGTAAATGAATAAAATCTTTAAAAAAAAAAAAAAGGTAAAATGTTAGTAGGTCCTCTCAAGAAGCCAGCAATGAAGAGCATTTCTGGCAGATATAGGAAAGGGCATAGAAGGCAGGTTTGGGTCAGTAAGGTGATCATTTTGACCAAAGCAAAGTGTTCATGTGAGCAAGATGTGGGAGATAAAGCTTCTCAGAGGCCATATTGTGCCAGGCCGAGGAACTTCAGATTAGCCCTCAGCTGTGGAAAGATTTGGGAGGGGGTGTGGTTAAAGCAGAAAGTAATCAGATGTGTTTTGCAAAGATGAATCCAGTGGACTTGCACGAAAGTTTGGGAAGGGGAAAAGGAGATGGCGGGAACAATCAGGAAGCTAATGAAGTGGTCAGGTGTGATGTGGTAAGGGTCTGAACAAAGGTGGTAATGGTAAGAATGGAAAGTTGGGATCAGGTTCTAGAAACAGACATGGAAGAAGTTACAGGATTGTTTCACTTGAATGGCAGGCACTATAGCAAAATCTCTGGAACCAAATTTCCTGGGTTCCGTCTCAATTCTACCACTTACCGGTGTAACCACAGGAAGTAACCAACCTTTGTGCCTTGTTTTCCCTACCTGTAAAATGGGGCTAATAGTAATACCTCAAAGATGTGAACATTAAATGAATTAGTGCCAATTATTTAGAATGTTGCCTGGCTCAGCAAATAGCCATTTGAAGGGAGGAACCAGGATGAGGATGGTTCAGTGGGTATCCTCTTAGTATCACAACTGTCTGGCATGTTCTCTGCTTTCAGAGTGTGACCTGTTGGCGAGCCAAGTTTATGGAAGCCTTTTTTTCCCATGTTCTACGTGGGACCATTGATGTATCTTCTGACAGGCGTCTCTGCGACCAGCGCTTCTCACCTCTTCTGCACAGCTCCCGCCATGTCCGGCAGCTCACCATCTGCAATATGCTGCAGGGTGCGACGGAGCTGGTGGCCGAGCCCAACCGCAGGGTTCTGGAGACCCTGGCCAGTTCCCTGCACACCCTCAAGTTCCGCCACCTGCTGTTCTCTGATGTGGCTGCTCAGCAGTCACTCCGGCAGCTTCTGCATCAGCTTATTCACCATGGGGCTGTCAGCCAAGTGTCGCTCTACTCCTGGCCTGTGCCCGAGTCAGCCCTTTTCATCCTTATCCTCACCATGAGTGCTGGCTTCTGGCAGCCAGGCCCTGGCGGCCCACCTTGCCGCCTCTGTGGAGAGGCCTCCCGAGGCCGGGCCCCATCCCGAGATGAAGGGTCCCTCTTGCTGGGCTCACGCAGGCCTCGCAGGGATGCTGCTGAGCGATGTGCTGCAGCCCTGATGGCCTCTCGGCGGAAGAGCGAAGCCAAGCAGATAGCCAGAGCTGCACCTGCCACCCGGGTAACACGCCGGAGCACACAGGAGAGCCTGACAGCAGGTGGGACAGACCCCAAGAGGGATCTGCACCCTCCGGCAACTTCCCATGAGGCGCCTGGCACCAAGCGGCCATCCTCTGCTCCAGCCACCAGCTCCTCTGCCTCTGCCTCCTCTTCCACATCCTCATCCAAACGGGCTCCAGCTAGCTCAGCCCCACAGCCTAAGCCCCTAAAGCGTTTTAAGCGAGCTACAGGGAAGAAGGGTCCTCGCACCCGTCAGGGGTCTGGTGCAGAGTCTGAAGACCTGTATGACTTTGTTTTCATTGTGGCCGGTGAGAAGGAGGATGGGGAAGAGATGGAGATCGGGGAAGTGGCTTGTGGAGCTCTGGATGGATCAGATCCCAGCTGCCTGGGGCTTCCAGCACTGGAGGCCTCCCAGCGATTCCGCAGCATCTCCACCTTGGAGCTGTTCACAGTTCCGCTGTCCACAGAGGCGGCTCTTACACTGTGCCACCTGCTGAGCTCCTGGGTGTCTCTGGAGAGCCTCACACTCTCCTATAATGGTGAGTGTCCTGCAGGGGCAGGGATGGGTCTCACAGTGGCACCAGCTGTGTGCCCAGCCCTGTGGAGGGGAATAGGGAATGTGATCAAGCAGCTGCACATGAGGCCCTGCCTGCTTCACAGTGGGACAGAAAGCACACACCTGAAATAGGGGCAGACTTCCATTGCTAGGGACAAACATGAGGTCTGTAGGCTTGATTTAGAGTTGTAAGCAGAGGTTTCTGAGAGGCAGTGAGGGCCCAAAGAAGGGGTATATTTTAGCCATGGTAGGCAATCCACAGGCAGGTGGGAGCAGTGGAGTGTATTCAGGGCCCCCCCAGTCCTGTCAAAGCAGCTGTACAGACAAGAAGGTATAGAACACATTTTTATCAGACCAGCAATCTGTGAAGCAGTCCTCAGTTCTTACCCATGCCTGGCTGTGCCCAGGTAGCCGAACTTCAACTCTGGGCAAATCCACCAATCTCCGTCGCTTGCTGAGCACAGATGGAGAAAATCACACAACTGTGCAGACTGGTGCTACCATACGTTCAGTCTTCAATCTTATATGGATCCTATGTTTGCAACATTAGCTCCCATTCCTCTCCACTACTTCTAAATGTTTTCCCCTTTCCTTTCTCAGCAGAGGACTTCACTTCCTACTTCAGAGAACATAGAAGCCATCACACATGAATTTCAGCTTGTTAACCAACCCAGAATTCTACATCTACACTCATCCTTTTCTCTTTCACAATGGGAGATGGCCATTCTAACTAGGGCTAACTCTATTACCTGTGCTCTGGACCCATATCCTCTTGCCTTCTTAGGAAAGCTTGTTTCTCAAATGCCTTAGTAATAACTAACTTTTATATACTGCTTAATATGTGTCTGGCATAATTTTAGTATTCTGTTAATTGGATCCTTACAACAACCCTATGAGGTCAACTGGCTTACCCAGGGTAACCTCACTAGTAAATTGTAGAGCCAGGATTCAAATCCAGGCAACCTGATTCCAGAATCCCAAGGTTTTAAACTCAATGTTGCCTACCTTCTCCAAGGTCTTCCTTGTCACTAAGTCCAATACATACTTTTCAGTCCTCCTCTTCTAGTAATTCTTGGCAGCATTTGCTGATGAGACAGCCTTCATGAAATATTCATTTTCACTACCTCAAAATTTTTTTTTCTCCCTTTCTGGACATTGTTATCAATGTTCAGAGTTCCTCAGAGCTCTACCATTTTACACATACGTCCTGGATGGTTTTGTCCATTCTTTTGGTTTCAAAAGCCAACTATGCTGAAGACTCCTCAATCTATGATAAGGGTCCACTCCAGATCTTTTTCCTAAACTCTAGAACCATTTCAGCCAGGTGACTACTAGATATTTTGTAAACCAACCTGAATGCATCTTCTCCCCTCGTGCTTGATCCTCCTATTCTGTCAGTGACCTTACAGCTCTCAGCTGTCCAGAAGACTGCTAGGCTCTTTCTTTTGCACCACATCTGTTTTTAAGATCTCTCAAATCCACTTATTTATCTCCACATCTTAATTCAAACTACTGTTCTCACTTGCATTCATCAACAGTTCCTCCCGTCTACACTGTAGCCCCAGCATTTTTTATTTATTTTTTTTTAATGCAAAGGCCATTCACTCACTTAAGAACCCTTCAGCAGTTTCCTGTCACATACTTAGTTTACTTACAGGTCATTCGTGTTCTCACCCCTGCTTACCTTCGTAGTGTCATCTTGAACACCCTCTCCCCTCATACTTTACACACCAGTCCCACTGAGTGTTTTTCAGTTCTTGGAACCTGCCACTCTTCTTCCTTTGGGCCTTTATATATATTGAGTTCTCCCTGCCAGTCACTCCTCTCCCTCTGTTTAGCCTATCTCCTTTGTGTTCTTTAGGACTCAACTGGAAAGTCTTTACTGTTAGAAGCTGGACTGGGTACCAAGTACTCATCCTTTGTGTTTCCACAATACCCTACTTCCCCAGCTCCCCTCACATTTTTGTTGTCCATCAGGCTACATAGCCAGGAATGAGATCTGCTGCTCATCACTGTCTAGCAAAAACTATATTTACTAGGTACTGGTTAAGGTATAGTGGGAGGAATGAGTCCACAGGAAACCTGCTCAGTCCAAGGGGAGCTAATATTTGCTTTGTGGCATTAAGCCTTTGCTCTAACCCTTCTGGATTCTGTTCACTTTTGTAGGGTGTGGTTACCCTTTTTTTGCTCTATTCCCACCCAGTTAATCCTTTAAAGTATTCCCTACTGGGTCATTGTCACTCCACTGCTTAGACGTTCCATGTGACCTATAAGAAAAGTCCAGAGACTGCTGCTGCCCTCTGGGCCTGTCATTCAGTCTGCCGCACAAAATGCGCCCCCCCCCCCCTTCCTGTTACTATCTTCTGTTTTGTGACTGCCCTCACTGATGCAGTCACAGTAGGGCCATGGCCCAGTACAGTAGACATCAGTTTGCTGGTTACCTGAGGAGAAAGCAAGACAATGAATGGTTGAGACAAATGATTTTAACTAACCTGATCCAAAGCTCAAGAAATTTAGCAGCTATCAACAGAAATATCTGGAGTTGTCTCTGAATGTCACTTCTACTGACACTCCCACATGACTGACCTAACTTCTTTCCTGCCATAGGCCTGGGCTCTAACATCTTCCGCCTGCTGGACAGTCTGCGGGCCCTGTCAGGCCAGGCTGGATGCCGCCTCCGAGCCCTGCATCTCAGTGATCTGTTCTCACCACTGCCCATCCTGGAGCTGACACGTGCCATTGTGCGAGCCCTGCCCCTACTGCGGGTCCTCTCTATCCGTGTTGATCACCCCAGCCAGAGGGACAACCCTGCTGTGCCAGGGAATGCAGGGCCCCCTAACCACATAATTGGAGATGAAGAGATACCAGGTGAAGCAGTGTGTGTGTGTGTGTGTGTGTGTGTGTCCCAACACAAATGTGAAGGTGCATTTGTGTCCATACAAATGTGAAGTTGAGGAAGGTGGGACAACCTCTGATTCAGGCCTGGTAAACTCATTCCTCAAAAAGGGAATGAAATCCATTCCCTCTTTGGAGCCTGCTGTTCAAAGATAACCATGGCCTGAAGAGGGCCCAGACCACTTATAAACCCATCAGGAAGTGACTGTGGCAGATTAGTCTCTAGAAAGACCGTCTAGGTCACTCTTCTTTATATTCCTTTAGGTCCTGTTTCCTATGTCACCACTCTGCACACACTTACTTGCTTGAGTAGTCTAGTCTTCCTGGACTAAAAGTTCCAGAAGGGCAAGGACCAAATCTCATTTAGTGCTGTTCCCAGAACCTAGCACAGTACCTAATGTGAAGTGCATACTCAATGACAAGTAAATGAATCCAACTTTTTAGTGAATCTCTAAAGAACAGGATGGGACCTGCTCGGGGACAAGAAGGGAGATGGCCAGCGATAACCTTTTCTTCCTACCATATCCAGAAAACTGCCTGGAACAGCTGGAGATGGGATTTCCACGGGGAGCCCAACCAGCCCCACTGCTCTGTTCTGTACTGAAGGCCTCAGGTTCTCTGCAGCAGCTGTCTCTGGATAGTGCCACCTTTGCCTCTCCCCAAGATTTTGGGCTTGTGTTACAGACACTCAAAGGTAGGACCCAGCTAGAATGGTAAAGGGAGGGCAGGAGACCTTGCATCATTCTTTGGCAAAGTTAAGGTCTATGGCCTTTGCCCCCATGCAGAGTACAACCTGGCCCTGAAGAGGCTGAGCTTCCATGACATGAACCTGGCTGACTGTCAGAGCGAGGTGCTCTTTTTGCTACAGAATCTGACTCTTCAAGGTAAGTTCTTCATCCAGAACCTGGGGCATTCCTGGATCTTCACTGTGGCTCTGCCACTGTTTCACTGAAGGAGCAAAAGCCATTGTTCTGCTCTTGGCCTTACATCTTCAACTATAAAATTGCTATAGAACCTGCATGATCTTCCTTCTAAAAGGTCCCAAACTCAATTCCTCCTATACTAAACATGGGAAAATTATTAACTTTTAGAGTGCCTCACTCAAATTTTTCTTACCTTTCAGTGGCTGGCAGAAATGGCAGTGGTTAAGGATAAATATGCTGTCAGCCTCCCCTTATAGACTTGCCCCTAATGCCTACTCCTGCAGAGGGCAGTTAGTGGATAGAGGAGGGGGGCGGTTAAATGGAGAACCATTCATGTAGAGAACCTCCCAACTGAGTATCTGGGCTCAGTCTCTTGTCTGAATCTGATTTAGTTCCAGTCTTGCTTGGGGTCTTGGAAAATTCCCTTCTTTCTGGGCTTCTATAAAAACGTTCACACCTCTTGCTAGGGCCAATTGGGACAGGAGGGGGAGCACCAAGTCCTAATGATAGCCATCAGAATTTATTCTAATTTCTCTTGACAGAGATTACCTTCTCCTTCTGCCGTCTGTTTGAGAAGCGCCCGGCCCAATTTCTGCCTGAGATGGTTGCTGCTATGAAGGGCAACTCCACACTGAAGGGCCTCCGGCTGCCAGGGAACCGCCTGGGTGGGGGCAGGGCCCTGGGAAGGGACAGGGGGAAGGAGCCAGTCCTTGGACTTAGAAACTCAGTGGATGAAGGCATAGGCCTCTCCACTGGGAACATGGGGGTTGGAATATAGTTGTGTGGGGGGGCTTCAGGAGGCTGGGCTTCTCTCCACCAGAACTGGATTGGGATACGCTTGTTCCCTTTTGGGTGGTTCCAGACATTCTCCCCTTCTCCCCAGGGAACGCTGGCTTGCTGGCCCTGGCAGATGTTTTCTCAGAGGACTCCTCCTCCTCTCTGTGTCAGCTGGACATCAGGTACACGGGGAGGGGGAAGGGACAAGGGATGGAGCTTCAGGGATATAGGGATTAGTTGTTTCCCGGGTGTCTAATCTGTCTCACCCCTACCAGTTCCAACTGCATCAAGCCAGATGGCCTTCTGGAGTTCGCCAAGCGGCTGGAGCGCTGGGGCCGTGGAGCCTTTGGTCACCTGCGCCTCTTCCAGAACTGGCTGGACCAGGATGCAGTCACAGCCAGGGAAGCCATTCGGCGGCTCCGGGCCACTTGCCACGTGGTTAGCGACTCGTGGGACTCATCCCAGGCCTTTGCAGATTATGTCAGCACCATGTGATGGGGCCCATGTTTCACAGGCCCATGCTCAGTACCATCAGCTTGCAGGGGCTGAGACATGGGCTGTGACATGGGCTGCCCAGAACTCCCAAACACCAACTCTGTCTTTCTCTTTCTGCCACCTTTTTTTCTCTTTTTTCCTTCTTCCCTTGCACTGAGGTCCTGGTGGCCTTGATGGGGCTCAGCAAAGGTATTCCCACAACTGGATGTAGAGCCTCTGGGCCCCTTACCCAGTACTCTGGGAACCCTGGGCCAGGTTATAGTGCTCCTCAGTCACTGAGGACAGCTCCCCGCCCCCTGCCCAAGGTTCCTGCTTTCCTTCCCGAAGCAGGCACCCAGGCTTTAGAGAAGTTTAGGAGTGTCCACTACCAGGCCTCTTCTCCGCTGGGCTTACCATGCTGCTTCCAGGCCTCAGTCCCTTTCATACCTTTATTCCTTTCTTTTTTTTTTTTTTAACCAAAAAAGTTTTTCTTATAAAATAAACTTTGGGCAAACATCATGTGGCCCTCCTTGATGATTTTTGTCCCAGAGAACAAAATTCAGTAGGGTCCTATGGGGCAAGGAGCCCCTTTTCCCTGTCTCCTTCCTCTAACAGCTACACCCAGACCAACTGGCTTATCAGCGGAGGCCCCGCTGCTCTTCATGAGAACGCTGGTGGAAGACAAATGTGATGGCAGTGGAGGCAGCATCCCAGGCAGCCTGAAGTACCTCATCCTTGAGCCCCCGCTTATCAGTGTTATGGTTCCATTGAGCCAGGTCTGAAGTACAGTCAGAACCATCAGGGGGTGGCCGGACCTGGTGGTTGTTGACACAGCGGCGGCAGCGCAGCCTGGGGGCAGAGGACAGAGCTGTGATGACTATGGAGCCCATCTCCATGCTGTGCAGGGAGTTCAGAGGTAATGCCAGTAAGGGCACTCCACGCACCTGTCATGAGTGTCGCTAAGGCTAGCCTCATCGAGAGTAAACAGCTCCTTCAACTCGCCCAGAGAGAAGTGCCGCTCCACGTCCTGCTCCTCATCCACCACACAGCTGCTCAGTGCCTTCTTGTGGCTCTGGCGCTGAAAGATCTTCTCCTCAATGGTTCCAGCCTGGGGTGCGGAGACCCGGGGTACATGGCTAAGTCATCACCAAACACGGGGCAGGAAAACCCAGGAGTTGAAACTATAGCCACCCAAGAGAAGGAGAAATAAAAGAAAACCCAAAATCCTACAGCCACACATCTGCTTAGCTGAGCCCATTTTCCCAGTCTATTTCTTGAGAACATGACTCGTACATGTCTGCTCACCCAGGATATTTTCTGTACAAATGGAGGGTTTCATGGCCTGGCTAAATTCCTTCAGAGTGAGCTGAGGTTTGCAGCAGCTTCACCAGAGCTCCACACCAAGCCCAGGTCTCTCTCACTCAATAAATATCATTAAGGTATCCTAGGCCAGGCCCTGTGCATGAGGATACAAAGAAGAATCAAATATAATCCCTATTCTTGAGCTCACAGGCTAGTGGGAGAGACAAAAACTAATTGGTACAGTAATAAAAACCTGTATAGGATACCCAAGGGCCCAATAGAGGGATGGTAGTAGAGAGGAATGTTGGGAAGCTTGAAAGATTATCCTCAAGTTGAATTTTAAAACATGAATAGATGGCCTACAAGGAAGGAAAGAAGGGAAAGCTCCTAGGTCCCACGTAGGAACAAAGGAATAAGCCTGGCCTACTAGAAGAGTGAGAACTTGAGCCTGTCTGGGGGACAGTGGGAATCTCAAGCTGGGACTGAGAGTCAGCAGAGGTCATACTAGAGAAATAATGGATGCCAGGCTGAAAGAGCTTGGCATTGTCCTGCAAGTGATGAAAAGCAAAATCAGAATTTTTGCCAAGTTCATTCTGGAAGCAGTATATGAAGAACAGATTAAGACCAAAGGTAAAGAATTAGGAAGCTGCTGCAATATCCAAGTGAGAGAGGACTGTGACCTTAGCATGGGACAGAGAGGAAGTTAAAGAAATTTCCAGAAAGTAAAAATAACATTTTGTTTTTAGGAAACAGAATGGTCCAGTAGGATGATACCCAGGTTTGGGTTGGTTGGATAATGGAGTCATTAAATGACAGAATTCAGAAAGAAAATGAATTTAGTCCACCATATATCCAAAGTGTTCATAAAACAGGCAAGTGGAATTGTACAATAGGTAATGGAAAAACAGGTCTAGAACTCCGGTAAGAGATCCAGGCTAAAAATTTAAGAGATTTGCCAATATAATGAGTGTATGTAATCACAAGAGGTGGGAAAACCAGAGTGGAATTTCTCGAGAGAATAGAATTTTAAGGATTAGTGGTAAACAGTGTCAGATTCACAGGAAAAAAAAACAAGAGTTTCTTGTTTTGGCAATTAGGAAGCCAGTAGTACATTCAAAAACAGGTTCGGTGGCATAAATGGTCTGATGAGTGAGTAGAAGATGAGGAAGTGAAGTTCGTTTGTAGTTTGTATGTTAGCTTTGGAAAAATGCGACTATGAATGAATGGAAAGTAACCCAAAGTAGTAGCTACAATTGGATGGAGGCTTAAGAAACTGTTTTCAGATGAGAGCTACTTGAGCATGTTTGTAGACCCAGGGAAATAAAGGAGAAATTAATCAACTAAGAAAGGAAAGGAAAGAGTCTAGGGCAAAGCTAGAATGATGAGCCCCAAAAAAGAAGAAAATGATCTTCCTCTGAGATGGGAAGAGAAGAGCCAGGTGTAGAGATTTACAAAAGAGAGGCTAAAAAAGTCAAGCCCGGTAGCCTACGTTTTCTCTTTGAAGTAGAAAATAAGGTCTCTGCAAAAAGAATGATAGACAGGGTTAGGTAAGAAACTTGAGGGAAGTGGTGAAGGCTAGCAGTGATAGGGTCCAGTCCAAAATGGAATATGTGAATTTGTGCTAGTTCTGATCTATACCTGCAAATTGTACATGGTGCAGAACCTGAAAATAGTTGTAATGATCCAAGTGGAGAAGATTTTATGGAAAGAGTGGCTGAAAGAATACACGGTAAGAATCAGACCAAACAGAAAGAGAAGTCGAGCCAGACTGGGGGGAGGTGGAGTAATAGGGACATAAGTTTGAAGCAGATGTAGGAGGTATGAGAAAGCTGGAAGGACAGGAAGTGAGACTAGAAAGATAGCTATTAATGTTTGGAACTATGTATAGTTTTGGCACTATTAAAATTCTGGAGTGTGGCCCTGGGAGTAATTAAATGAGGGGGAGTTAAAGAGCTCATTAGGAGGTCAAGGAAACATGAAGGCCAGAGTGCCAGAGAACTGCATGGTCCCTGAAGTCAAGATGATCTAGGGGAAAAATGAAGACTGCACTGGTATCCAAAGCCATCAATGAATTAGGAAAATGGCATAGAATAGAGGAGTGTAACAAGGAAAAAAAGTAGTCAAGTGAGATAACATGAGCTTTAAAAGAGAACTATAGTGTGGATGGTCTGAATGATGACTGAGAACTTGGAGAATGCCAATACCTCTTAGCCCCATGGGACACATGGAATGTGAGAAGATTACAAGGCAAGTGGCATGGCAGAAATCAGGCATGAGGCAAAGCAGGTGTCCTGGGAAAGGAAGGTGATCACAGGAGAGTTTGTTAACCATTGAACAGGTATCCAGATGGCATAGTAAAGGTTTTGAAGGAATGGGGTGGAGAGAGGAAGAAAGAACAGAAGAATAAAGGGCTCTGGCTAAGCTGCATAGCCTGGCCACTGTGAGAGGCAGAGGGGCCAACGGGAGGTACTGACAACCCAAGATGGTCCTATAGGTCTTCTTCCATGACCCACCCCTACTATGACCACTGTCACCATCCTTACAGACAGCAGGCGATAGATATAGCATGTCTTCTTTTGACCGTCACGCCAGACCCGGGCCATGGCTTGTTCATCATTGGCCGGGTTCCAGTCAGGATCAAACATGACCAGTCGGTTAGCCCCGATGAGATTGAGGCCACAGCCACCAGCTTTGCTGCTTAGCATGAAGACAAAGTCAGGGCTCTGGAAAGAGAGGAAGCAGGAGAAAGAGAACCTCTTACAGCCTGAACTGGGATCCTATTCAGTCCAGCAGACTGTTCTCTCTCACACATCTGTACTCTCATGCTGTTAAGGACCACCAATTTGTCTGCTTGCCAATTTCCCAGCCCAGCCATCATTAACTTGCCGAACCCCACCACACAAACCCGAAAAGGGGGAGAAAAAAAAGACCCTAAAAAAGAGCACCCTTATAGTTTCTCTACCACCCCTTGATTCTGGTGTTACTGCATTGGTAGTGTAGGAACAGGGGCTGTGTATTTACCGACGGATTGTTAAAGCGCTCCACGACCTTGGCTCGCTTCTTAATGGACATTGTGCCATCCAAGCGGACATATAAGTACCTGAAGGGGAATCCAAAGATCAAAACCCAAAAAGGAAGCAGAGCCCTGCTACCAAAGGAACTGAACCATGCTTGAGGCTACTCATCTACAGCCTGAGGCCCTAAATTCACAAAGGAATGGGCAGGGAGCTAGAGGCCAGAACTCTGTCCTCTGGAAGTACCTGGGGCAGGACCAGAGGCTATTCTGCTTAGAGATGGAGCTGGGACCATCACAACAATAAGAGAACAGATATTTTCTGGGAAGCCCCTACCATACCCGCGTCTTGGCCCATATGCACCAGTCAGAACACCTACTCTGCATAGCAGGACGGTTGGAGAGACACTGCTTTGGCAAACTGATGAGGCCCTTCCCTACCTTCGGGCCCGGCAGAGCTTCTCGAAGAGATCCAGTGTCTGAGTGTAATTGGACACCAACACTACTTTGTCACTGCTGCGGCTTCGGGTCACTGCCAGAATGTAATCAAGGACCAGCATCTTACCTGGAGAAATCAGCAACTATTAGCCCCCAGCAGGCCATCCCTATGCCCCAGGAGTCTTACTCCTGATACCATACCTTGAGACAAGGATACATATAGCACAGAGACAATCTCCCACTCCTCCTCTCAGAGGAACGCAAAGACTAGCTTACCTGACAGCTGGGGCTCTAGAGCCTTGGAGCTATAACCAGCGGGAAATATTTCCAAAGCACCTTCAAAGCCATCCTCCTCTTCCACACACTTGTCATAGATTAGAGCTGGATCTGGGGGCGGGAGGACAACCCACAAGCAAAATGCAAAATGCCAGCTATAGTGCTTTCGGAAGTTTCCACTTCAGTGCTCATTGGAACCCCCTCTAGAAGCCTACCCAGCAAGACCTTCCTCAGCACCAGACTTGGTTGGCCCCAAATCCCAGTATCTTAGTCAGTTCCATCTGGGACCATATTGCTCACTAGTGTGCTCTCCCAACAATAAGGGAACTATACCAGAGAGGGCAAGGTTTATTATTTTTCCTCCTGTCCAACATTTTATTTGCACATATGTGTGTGCGCATACTCACCCAGAGTCCCATATACCCCAAGCATTGAGTATG